GCCACCGGAGACCTGAGGCTGCAATCGCCCGCTGGTCGGCGTCTCTCACTCGCCGGTCTGTGTGGCATTGACACTATGGACATCTGGGCTACTTTTTCTTTCGAGATTCTTTTTTAGGGGTATTTTTTTTAGATTTATCCGGGCTATTTACCGCCTCAGAGCTTGATTGAGAAAACCCAGAGATTTTTTTGAGGGGTATTTTTTTTCGAGATTTATCAGGGCTACTTACAGCCTTAGACCTTGATTGAGAAAAACCAGAGATTTTTTTTAGGGGCGCCCGTAAGACATTGGTGGTAGGGGCTCTTTACTCCCTCTCCTTCTCTAATATACTAGATCATGAAAGGCGCGCGTTGCAGCGCCCGTCCGCTTTTACAATAGATTGCTAGGCATTTATGATGTGAAAATAAAATTTAAATGAAGTGTTTCTTCAAAGTAGCGCACATTGATTTTTTTTCTAGATAAACCGATACAGGGAATACATAATATGTTGAAAGTAGTAATCTAATCGGTTTACAAAAAAAATAAAAGAATTTAATTGGTATTATTACTGTAAGAAAGGGAACACATGCATGATGCACTCTGCAAACGATTATATTTTTTTAGTTTTATTTCTATCAGATCATTAGTGGATAAGAAGCAAAATTTTAGAGCAAATTGCTTTTTGGTTAAATTTACCCTTTCTGTGTGTTCAATTCTTACATAATACTCCCCCCGTCCGGAAATACTTGTCGAAGAAATAGATAAAAATGGTTGTATCTAGAACTAAAATAAGTCTAGATACATTCATTTCTACGACAAGTATTTACAGACGGAGGGAGTAGCATAATGATGGCAACAACTATAGTTACACAGGAAATAATACACAGGAGGAAGAATAGCTGGAAAGCCCCAACCAATAGCACTCCATTGTATAACCAGCACCGACGCCATCCTTATCAAAAGAGCAAAATGATACATGAATAAATTACACAGCAAGGTAGAAGAATATTAGATAAAATATGCCACCTTTATAACCCATATCTAAGTGCCTTTTTGTTCCCAGATAACCCAAATTATATGGATAATATACATGGGTACGTGATTAATGGCTTTCCTTTAAAAAAAGTTGATAATGTCCAGCATGGCGATGAGGGAGCTTTGGCAGCCAGCAAAGGTTTTAGTATCCTGCAATCAGCTCCTCTCTCTCTCCAATGGCTAATGTAACAAAACTGGTAGAAAGATGACTTAGGGACAGTTTTTTTGGATAATTCTCCCAGAATTGACCCTCTCCCCAGCTTCTTTCAGAATTGCCACTCCATATTTTTTTTTACAATTCCTAGCTAGTTAAGGTCTAATTAGCTAGGAATTATAAAAAAAGATGGAGTGGCAATTCTGGAAGAACCTGGTGAGGGGGTCAATTCTGGAAGAATTGCCAAAAAAATGGCCCTTATAGTCATAGTTCTTGGAATCAAAGTGGGACCCTCTGGTCCATCCATGTCATGGATCGTGTGGTGCCTCAATGTGGTTGGATTCAATCTAAAACGAACGAATTATTACATAAGGATCTAACTGAAACTCAACAACAATGGCATGGTTTTACAAAGTCGGACAAGCCAATGGTATGGCCTTCAAGCATTTTTTTCGTCCATTCATGTAAATAGAGAATTGTGGGAAAAGGTAACATCAATATATAATCAATGATGATGGGCGTTGCCAGACCCGTGCATTTTAACAAAAGATAAGAGTATTTCAAAATAAATCGAAGTTTTCAGAGCTGCATACACATCAATCGTACCAGCAGAAGAAACACATCATGCATGTACATGCTTAGTTCTGAGAAGCATCACATGAAATATGAAGGCAAATTTGAAATGGTAACATGCAGGAATATCATCAAGTAGAACTACTAATTAAAAACAGTACGCTAAAAATCTGTGTAAAGCCCAGATAACATAGTATCAACATTAGTTGTAAAGACTCATTCAGTTGAGAATAGCATATACTTATCTGAAAAAATGGTGGAGTTTTAACATATTAAATTACAATTCCTTGATAGATGTGGCAAAGTATATTTATATGAACTTACAAATGATCCACTAACATAATAATTTATTTTTAAAAAATCCCGCTTTACAACATAAAATTTTATTTTTAGCCAAAAGAATTTGCAATAGACATAGTTAGATCTGAATACTGTCTTGTTTGTTTAAACTAATAACGTGTTCATGTTTAAGATTTAAAAAATAATTGAATGTGATCTATTTTCAACAGGATGCTCTAATGGGCTTCTACTATATCACTATATTCTAGTCTTCAGGAGAAACATAACGATGTCAGATATTATAGAACCAAACTGTACAGAATAATTGACACATGGAAAAACATAACGATGTCAGATATTATAGAACCAGACTGTACAGAATAATTGACACATGGAAAAACATAACGATGTCAGATATTATAGAACCAGACTATACAGAATAATTGACACATGGAATAAAACATTTTCAACCTCTTTACTTGAGAAACCATAGACGTGATGGTAATCTTACGATTATTCATGTGCATACATCAGGAGGACATGGTAACCCACATGATTTAGTTTTCTAGTGCAGTTAGTCGTTGTGTTTTGATGAGAGCAAGCCTTTATTATCTACAAGAGCACGTGAAGTTTTACAAATCATAGGCACATATACATGCATGTTAAGATAATAAGATGAGATATGAGAGTACGCCTACACTACCGTTTTGCTTATAACCATTGCAATCATGAGCTTTAGGAATTCCCTGATCCAACCTACTGCAGCACTACCAGAACAACACTAATCCTTTTTTATCGTACCTGCAGCAATTTGGAAGCACGAAAAAACAGCAGCAATAAGAAAAAAAATTGCTTATTCGTAATTAAGTGGAAGAGAGGATGGAGAAGGAAAAAAAAATACATAGTAAGGATAAGATAAAGCAGCAACGTAGATGAAATCAACCCACCAGAACCAGTCTTCAACACTACGATTGGGGGACCTGCTCAAATGTCGAGAAAGAAAAGCTTCATCGAGTCAGATTGGATGTAGAAACACTGGGCAATTGGTGGGAAAGAAAATCTGTGGAGCCGCGACTCCGGCAAGCCCTCGACTCGGAGACAAGTATTGTGTGACAATCAATTCGCTGGTGGGAGGGGGAGCTGATGCAAGCGAATGGTCGTGGTGGCTGTCCTCCTCAGCGGCGACGTCGTGCTCTCTAGCAGCAGGGTCGCTCCCTCCCTCGGGCCTAATCCCTGTGTCGTGGACGAAGAGGAAGGGGTCGTGGAGGAGAAGAATCCTTTGATGACGGAAATATATGAACTTGCGTGGAGTGGAAGAAGAAATGGGAGCGCATGGTAACTGACCTTTGCAATTATCGGAGGCGCGCGAGTGGTTTCGGCATCGATTGCCATTAAATCCTTGTCGGTGAATTACTCCCTCAATCGGCGCCGAGTGGAATCGAATTGATATGTGACCATTGGCATCCCCCGTCACCACCCGTTCGCGTCGCCCAACAATGGCCCCGTCGCTCGCACCGGACGGGAGAAAATGGCATCGACACGCCTGACTTCGCGTCGGCCTCCCGGCGAAAGGTCAAAATCACGTGGTGGAGTCTGTTGTCATCAAACTCAAGGATTCTGCGCGCACGTTTTATTAGAAAGAGATGATGCATTTTTTAGGGAAGAGATAACGCATTTCTTTTTAGGGAAGAAATAACACATGTGCAGTTCTGAAACCACGGACACCCCAGATTCAAGGGCCCAGTTGGCCCAATTAATAATAGGCTACCGATTTTGTCATGGGAGCATCGGCCCAGCCCCTTGTAGCACTCCCTGTACATCAACCGAAGCTCAGGAGAGATTGCAAATAGATCAAACGGCCAGCGACGTCCAAAAGTCCAGATCGAATGGTCAAAACTGTTGATGGCCTGAGAGGGTATGAAAAGTGCACATACTTTGATTAAACAGCCAAAAATGTTTAGAAGTGCAAATCCGACGGTCAAAAGCACTAATGGTCTGAGAGGGCTGGAATAGTGCTCAGTTTTAATGTATCTAATAATAAATGATACACACGCTCTATCCTCAAATTTTTTTTAGGGGTATTTTTTTTTCGAGATTTCTCTTGGCTACTTACCGCCTCAGAGTTTGATTGAGAAAACCAAACTTCGGCCCAGCCCAACCACGAGCCTCTCGGTCCATCCCAGGCCACATCCCTACGCTGCTTACCCGTAAAGAAAAAACAAAAAAAAAACATCTCTGCGCTGCTTCGGCTCTCCCCACCGTCCTCGGCCCCCGGTGGATCCCGCCCGTCGCCGCCGCCGGCCCTTGTTGGTGCTGCCCCGGCAGTTGCAACTTCGAATAGCGCTGCCACCACCGCCTCCTCCCTCCCCGCCAGTCCCGGCGCCTGCGGCAAGCGCTCCTGGGCAGCTCCCTCCACCCACCTCCTGCCGTCAGATCCCCTCGCTGTGAGTTCCGTGCGCCCAATTCTCCCTTGATTCCGATTTCCCAGTGTCCTCATAATTCGCTCGTGCCTGATAGAGGCCAGGGTTATCTATCCTCCGATGTTCGGTTAGTGCTGTTTATGATGCCGTGCCCCGTATTAGGGTTCAATTCGTTCGGGTCAGTTTCGTTGCAATACTAAAATACAAGATGGATATTCTACCATGCTGTGTTGTTTTGCCACGCTTTATCGATTTTGATGTATGATTCGAATTTCATATCAACTGCACCTCTGCCTCGTATACTTCTTTCTATGTCAAGCAATGCGTCTGCTGTGGGTAGGTTACTGCGCTGGTTAATTTTCAGCCTAGGGATGTATATTGTTTCAATGAGTCAAGTCCCTCTGCCATCATGAGCAGCTTCTCTGATGGTTGCACAGAGGCACGTTTTGTTCGCTTTGTCGTGCAGCAACAATTCGTTCCAGGTTATTGTTTTGTTTCTTATCTTTCTTGTATATGTGATGATTTGTAGGTAGCAGCTGATTGGCAGTGAACGGGGCAAGATGTCTGGCGGAAATGTGAGTTGCTGCTACTTTTAATTCTTTTTGTCTGTAGAGAAGCCAGTGTGGTGCATTTGAGGATTTTGAGCTGATCCTCTGCTTCTTATGGTGCGTAGCCTGCAGGCGTGGATAACACTTTCCGTAGGAAATTTGACAAGGAGGAGTACTTGGAGCGAGCTCGACAGAGAGAGCGGGATGAGAAGGTCCTCCACGATGTCCTACTGTTTTCTGAAAACTAAACATGATCATATTCATACTTCTCTCTTGTTCAATACATTGCTAACATTTGTCCTGTCTTTCTCCCTTGGTTATGCAGGATGAAGCCCGGAGAGGCAAGGGTATGCACTCTGTCTAAAGTTATTAGTTCTATTAAATCTGTAGCCTTGCTGTTATTCATGCAATACTGAATTATTTCCTCTACAAACGTCAGATAGGGGCCCTCCTGTGCAAAGACAGCCTTTGAAGCATAGGGATTATGAAGTTGATCTTGAGTCTCGCCTTGGCAAAACCCAGGTTTGTAAAATCATATAGGTTTCAAATAATGTTCCTTATTATGTTTTTCCATGTTTCCTCATTGTTGTATAACCTGTGAGCTCAATTGGGTGTGATTCCTCAATTTCTTCTTGTGTATGTATATCTGTAATGCCTCGCGTGGTGCATTTTGAAGTTCCTTATTTAGGTTAATTTGCAACCTAGTATCTGAGACTTCATGTTTACGCTTGATTTGAATTGTTGGATGTTGATTTGTGGGTATTGGATGTTTTAGTATGTCATGGCATTGTATGTTCTTTATGCTGCTATTTTCCCATAGAGGTTGTCAAACAGACCTTACCAATCAATTAGATGAGCCGAACAATATATGCAGTTTCTGCGTATATACTGTAATGTTGCCATGGCTAGTCTTAATTTGACGCTCTCTGCAATTCATGGAAAGACCAACAAGCCAACCATCTTTCATGTTCTGAAAACTGCATCCGCATTCTTGCGTGCTGGTGACATATATAATTTGTCCTGTAATGAACCTGCTTAAATGAAAGCGGCGAGGAGAGAGTTCCCTGACTTTTCCTGTAAATTTGGGGAGCTGAACTGAGACGTTGTCAGTATCTTGCTCCCTGTTTCATCTGTGTTGGATGTCCAATCTTTCTATGACATCCACTTTGGAAAGCAGAAAAGATTAATTGCACCTTGCATTGCTTGGATACATATATATATATTGAATTCGAACCACAAACACAATCCAAGCATCTTACATTGCTAGGATGGATATGATTGGGGTGCTGAGCGAGCAACGAGCTTGTAGTTTTGATCGGATGGATTCAGAGACTCAGGTGCTGGAGCAGAGAGCTGCCGTCGAGGCCCTTGGCCCTGTAGCGCCGGACCAGTTCCGCCATGGTGGTGCTCCTGTACCGCGCCTCGCCGTCGGTGACAATTGGCTGTAGCACTCTCATTGACATGGCCGCGCCCTGCTGCCGGAAGAAGCAGGCCACGGAGACGCGAGGCCCGACGCTCTTGGCCACCACGCGGTGCTCCACGCTCCTGAACTTGCCGTTGGAGACAAGCTGCAGGAAGTCGCCGACGTTCACCACCAGCGCGCCCGCCACCGCTGGCATGTCCACCCACATAGCATCCAACTTCTTCTTGTCGTCTTCCTGTAGTCCGTCAACGAGCACCTGGAGGCCACCCACAGCGTTCTGGAGGACCACGGTGAGGAAGCAGGGGTCGGAGTGGGCGGTGATGCCCAACGTCAGGTGCGGCTCTGGGCAGGACGGGTAGTAGTGGCCGGCGAGCCCCTCCAGGCACACAGCATCCTCCTCCAGGTGCCCACGGCGGAGGCCTAGTGCCTCCGACAGCAGCTCGAGTAGGGTGCGGCCCAGCTGCTGCACCAGCCTTGTGTACTCAGGCACGATGGTCCTGCACGCGGGCGGGATCTCCTCGGGCGGCGTCGGCTCCGGCGCCGTCTCCATGAAAAGGGTGTCATGCCAGGTGGCCGCTGGCGACCGGAACAGGTCGAAGTTGCTCTGGTACCTCACGCGCCGGCGAGAGTCCCGGCTGTAGTAGGGCGCCTTGACCTCCGCCGGCTCCTCATGAAAGCCCTGCAATGCCGCGAGCATCTCTGACATGACCGCCTTGGGCACGCCGTGGTTCACCACCTGGAAGAAGCCCACCGTCTCTGTGGCCGCCTTTACCGAAGCGATCAGCTCAGCTCGCTTGGATGGTGTAGTAGTAGTAGCACCCACGGCAGCCGCAAGGTCGATGACCGGGATGGTGAAGTGGTGCTCATGATCTGCATGCAGACGGTGGAGGGGGAGGGGGTGGTGGAAGATGGAGGGGATGGTGGTGATGCCCGTGTCAACGAGGCCCTTGACGCCGGCCTTGGTGTTGTCGAAAGCCTTGAGGGCACGAAGGCGATCGGAGTCAGAGGCCATCATTGTTGTACTACTCCACTAGATGAGTATTGCTGCTCCTTTAAAGGATCTCTGGGCCAGTGCAAATTGTGCAAGATCAAAAAGCTCGATCCACTATATATTAATTTTCTGCATTACCTATCTCTTCCCAACTGCTATGCAAGAGACAGCCTAACTTGCAGTTCTTTATGTAATCAGTGCGGTGGTTGATCCTTATTGTTCCCCAATCATTTTCTGAAAAGAAAAAGAAATCATTGTTTCCCTATCAAAGACCAGGCTCGAATCATCGAATGGTAATTTCACTATTTCGAGGTAGCCAAATAAGAGGAATAATAGCCAAGGCCTTAAGAAGAGCGGGCTTTGAGTAGTACTGCCGCTGTGCTGTAGTACTATATTCTACTCCCTCCGTTCCTAAATATTTGTCTTTCTAGATATTTCAACAAGTGACTACATACGGAGCAAAACAAGTGAATCTACACTCTAAATGATGTCTATATACATCCGTATGTGTTAGTCAATTTGATAACTCTAGAAAGACTTATATTTAGGAACGGAGGGAGTAGGAGTCTAGGACAATGATCAACAGTTTGATATTACCAGCACATGACTAGGACAATGCTGAAAGCCTTAAAACACTTTTGAGTAGCATAATGCAATTCTTGAATATACTCCCTCCGTTCCTAAATGTAAGTCTTTGTAGAGATTCCATTATAAACCGCACACGGATGTATATAGATGCATTTTAAGTTTAGATTCATTCATTTTGCTCCGTATGTAGTCCACCTAGTGGAATCTCTACAAAGACTTATATTTAGGAACGGAGGGAGTAAAACATAAGGATGGAAATCATAAAAGTGTGCTTAAGATTCGAAGATTAGAAGTATGAATGAGTATTACAAAAGATGAGTAGCTGTCCACGTGTGAATGTTTTATTTGTATAGGGGTTCGGTTTGGTCATTTACTCATTTATCATCAATAAGCTGTTCTTCTATTCGCTAAAAACAATCTGTATATATAAAGTAGACACTCTATATTACTTAAATGTATACCTAACCATATTATTTTGCCTCTCCTTTTCAGGTGGTAACCCCAATCGCACCTTTGAGTCAGCAGGTTTGTCCCAAAATCTCATAGGGCTTGTTATTTAAGATTAGAAATTGCAATGTTTGTAAAATTTTCAGTTTGCTTACTTGTTAGACATTCTGCCAGAGTATGTGACTCCATGTTGTTTGTTTGTTGTACTTGAGAACTTGGTGAGATCTTAATTCAGAACTCAGAAGACCTGTTTTATGTGTTATTCTTTTGTTGTTTTTTAGATTTAGGTCTCATGTTTCCACAATCAGTCTATACTTATTAGTGTTTGATTCGTGACTTGCTTGTTCTTCTTTTCAAATATCAATGCATGAAATTTAGAACAGTACTATTGCTACATAATTAATCTCGCTTGCCATGGGATTGGAGGATGATGCAAATATTAATGCTCAACTAGATACTGTTCATGCTCAGTTTATCGCACAAAAGCTTGTTCTCATTTTACCATCTTTCTGGCAGGCTGGATACTACTGTTCAGTATGTGAGTGTGTTGTTAAAGATTCAGCCAACTATTTGGATCATATAAATGGCAAGAAGCGTAAGTACCTGCAAACTCTATTTTAAGTTCAGTTGGTCTAGCAAACTTGCCTATCATCAGTTTCATGTTTTTTGGTTTGAACATTTGACAGATCAGAGAGCATTGGGCATGTCTATGCGTGTTGAAAGGGCGTCACTCGAACAGGTATAAAAATTGAAGCTTGTCTGTGGACCCGAGTCCATCTAATAACTAAAATCATTATTCATCATGTGCTGGTTATTTCATTGGTTTATCATCGCAAATTTGAAATGAAAATCTCCGGGTTATCTAAGCCAAGTGGACAGCTGCTTGCATGGTTAGCTTCCATATGTTTAAATGTCAATAACTCTTTCTGCCCGCAGGTTCAAAAACGGTTTGAGGCACTTAAGAAGAGGAAGGACCCAGCCAGCTTCAGTGAACAAGGTGATGCAATGCGAAAACATCATCTAGGATGTCATTTCTCCTCTCAATTCATTGTCCACAGAATCGTCTACCAGATTACTATCTGAAATTTAAAATTGGCTTCTTCGCCTTTTTCTTCAGATTTGGATGAGAGAATATGGAAACAGCAGCAAGAGGAGGAGGAGAAGAAGCGTCAGCGCAGAGAAAAGAAGAAAGAAAAGAAGGTATAAGCACAATCTTTTATGTGTGTCTGTGTATGTAATTTCCTGTTTCTACTGCGCGTTTTCCATTAAACGCGAGACTTGCAGTCTGTCAGTCCATTGGGCTGTTGAGAATCGTCAAGAGTTTGTAGTGACATGGTATGAATTGGTTTCAGAAAGAGCAGGCTGGCCAGAATGAACCTGAGGACATTGACCCTGATGTTGCTGCTATGATGGGCTTCGGCGGGTTCGGCACCTCTTCGAAGAAGTGAAAATTGCTACTTCAGGTGGCGTCATTCCGTTGGTCTGTGGCTGCTGAAAACGTCGCCGTGGCTCTGTGCACCTGGATCTCAGCATAGGCCAGACACAGCTCTGATGCAGAGCTGCAGTGTTGCGATTAATGTACTGGAGCCTTGTTTGCAACTGCTACCTGATAATGTCAGCGAAACGATACTTGACGCTGGAACAATTCAGCTTCTGTAATCGGTGACAGGTGATCATTTGAGAAGCATTTCATCTTTGAGAAATGAGATGACTGATTCGTCTAGATGCTGATGTATCATTTGAGAAATGAGATAACTAATTCGTTTACGCGCTGCTGTTGCATCAGCTTGCGAGAAAAGCAAATGCTCTGTTTGCAGGCTGTTGTTTTATTCTCGCATATTCTCCGTTTTGGAAAAGAAAAAGTAAGTTTGCATACGACATAAGTTAGGAGTAGCATAAGTGATGGATTTATGACAAAACTGGCAAGTTAGAAGACAATTTTCTTTCAGCTGGAATTCGTTGAAAACCTGAAAACTGTAAAAGGAGCCACTGGATTGTAGATAGATCAATCGGATAAGAGATGGGATACCTCGTGACCACTTAAACATATTTTACAGAAAACTCATATCTCTCGTTTGACCGGTGCTGTAGGCTTAGGAAGTTTTCTATGAGGGAATTTTTATTTGTACCAATAGAATACTTTTGTGATTTCTTCTATATGGATATTTAATTCGGAAGTTTTAATGTGGGATTTTTTTTTCATTTGTACACTAGAACCTTATATGGTTTCCCCTATATAGGCCTCATTTGCATTGATATAGTCCTATATGATATTTTTTTCCTGGTTACGTTTCAAAAGAAATTCTGCACTTGTTCAAACCTCAAAAATATCCTTTGCTTTCCGGCTTTCATATGGTATGATAACAAAAACCGGTAACACATTCAGTCCTGTAGATTTGTTTGGACATGAGACTGCAATCTTGCGTTTTTCTTTAGTAGTCCCTTGCTTTTGTTCTCTTTGAATGAAAGATGCCCTGAGCATAATTAAAAGTACGCCCCGAGCATTTCATTTACGCCAAAATCTGCTGGAAAACACTGTTTTCTTTTCTTTTTTGCGGAGAAAAACACTGTTTTCTTAGAGGTGCACAAAAAGTTACTCCCTCCATAAGGAAATATAAGAAAATAGTAATCTAAACGCTCTTCTTTACAGAGGGAGTACATGTTGATGGGCTAAAAATACATATTTGTGCCAAATTTCCCATGAAAACAAGTGATTCATGATCTAGTCCTCCAAATCAACTCGAGAAGATGATGACAACGTGTTGTTAGCTAGCGCAGAAGCTAGCTCTCATGACGCTGGATTCGGGACTTGCGGGCTGCTGGTTGGCGAATTAGAAGAAAGGCCAATGATCAAGACATGCTACCTATTCGAAAACATGTCTGTCGTTCAGGTTCAGGGCCACGGCTCTAGTCGCTGAATAATCGTCAGACGATCGCCCTCAGCGCCGCCTTCATAAACCCCAGCAGGGCTGAGAGCTGATGCGTCCGGAAAAAACCATGACCCAAACTATACCGCGCTCGCGTTTTCGTCGCATTTTCCTGATGACAAGTTGAGCGCGACTATTCGTGCGTGGGCGCATCCATCCTACTGTTCCACGATCAGTCCAGTGTCGGGCAGATGGCGACAGGTTCTACTACTAGTCTGCATCCTTGACATTTCTCTTCTGCACGGAGATACTCCTCCGTAAAGAAATATAAAAGCGTTTAAAGCATTTCTAGCAGACCCTGCAAAATCCTGACCCGCATAAACAGTTTACAGTTCGACGAAAATCTCGTGTGCAGGTCGAAAACGTGCGCGGCAGAACAGAAACCGTATATAAAATTGCATAATTTGAAAAAAAGTTTCGTGGAAGAAATTGCCACCATATTAGTTCATCACATAGTACATGATCATTTATAGTTCATCATCACATA